CAAGTGGCCCCTTTGTGCAAAAACATTCTAGCACCCGTTTCCTCAAGACATTTTAGTGGCCTCCTCAGGAGTTTTGCAATAAATACATAAATGTTTAGGATGCGTGTGGTGCGCCCTTGGGTGTAGTACATTTGTCCAGAGCACAACCTGCACACCCTTAGGTACTGGCAGTGGACGCCGGAGTCCTACATGATGCGCCTTACACCAGCTTGAATTTAATTTAAAAGCTGGAAAAGATATGACGTGTTTCGGCTTCTGACCAAAGTCGTTGGTGGGAAGGGAGATCCCTTTGACCTTCTGCCTAGGAAGGAGAACCCCCAGCTAGTAAACAGAGATGAATAACTGCACTGAAGAGCTGAATAACTGCATTTAAGAGCTAAAAATAGAGGCAGCGCAGTGCCTCCTGGCATTGCCCATCCCCAGGCTGCTCTGGCAAGAGCAGCGGTGGAGCTTTGAGAGAGGCGCTGTACTGTGTGCCTGCTTGCCTCTCTGCTCCGCTTGGCGGGGGAATGCCTACCACAAAGTGTAAGCGCCAAGTGGCTTCGGGGTCAGTGGGAGTTTGGGCTCTCATTTGGTGCCTTTTTGTCTGACTGTTTACCAAGCTAAACGTGGTGGGCTCAGAGCACACTGCAGAGGAACGTTCTGTTCCAGACTTGCTGTCTTTGTGTCTCTCTTCATTGGGGGGTAAGAGGCTAGAAAGAGAAGAAGGAGGGTTGTCCTTTTTTTTTTAATTTGGTACATTCTCTTCCATTTACAAAAGACCTGCTCAGGATGCAGGGTGCAGAAGAGCCTTCTGCAGAGGCCCTGTCTTGTAGACTCCTCAGCGTGGCCCTGCCCGGTTATGCTTGCAGTGCAAGTGATTTGAAAAGTCAAACTGCCTGTAACTAGATGGCTACCAGCAGTAATCAAAATGGAAAAGAGTTGGAATAACTTCTGAGTCAAACAATACTTACTTAGAAACACCTACAAGTGTAAGACATTGTAGGAAAAAACCACTAAAATCATGTCATTCTTCCCCATTTCTTCACTTAGTTCTAATCTCCTCCTACATAAATTTTTTTGAACTTCCTCAAAATCTCATTGGAAACAAAGAGATGTTAGGAATAAAGAGGAATAAGAGATCCTGACCTTGTCATTCAGAATCTTCCAGTCCAGGTGGAACTGCACAATGTAATTTTTTTTTTTTTTTTTAGTAAAAGATAATCCTAAAGCTGCTTGCAGAGGTAGCAGTGTGATCACTTGCTCAAGGAGGGACACGGGCATACATTGCTTTAAGTTCCCAGAAGAGCAGCGTGGGGAGGAGTCTGCTGGGAAATCCAAGTAGAGGAGGAGTGAGGGCTGGGTGTGAAGGTGCGAAAAGTAGAGAGGGAGAGAACTTTCTAGGACCCAAAGGTCTACGGAGAAACTCAAAGAGGAGAGCTCTGATACGTTCTGTTGTGACTGAGCCAGACAGAGAGGAGGAAGATGAGTCCAGAGAACCAAGAGCGTGGAGAGGCACAAGGAGAAGTGTTGGAAAACACTTGGGGAGGCAGAAAACAGCAAAAGATGTCAGGGATTAAACAGCAAGTGTTGTTCCATAAATGATACCAGGAGATGCTAGAGAAAACTGAGAAAAAGTCATTGAATTGTGGAATTAAGGCTATTTTAAAATACCTAAGAACCCAGGTATGACTTGTTACTGGGAGCCAGATTGTCCCTATGATCTCCAGCTTCTGGATTCTTCCCCAAGCCACAGTGCTTCATCCACAGCAGACCCTGGCATCTTAGGATCTTGCAGTGGGAGAATTCAGCAAGCTTCCTCAGCCACCAACCTGGTTCAGGGTGCTTACCGAATACAGGGTCTGACAGAAGTAAGGCCTGCTTGAGTATGGTTGGTAGGGTAAAAATTTGGGTGTAAAAATTTATAGTTTTAATTTGAACATTTCACCTAAAATGTCATATGGTGTGCTTGAGTGTGATAATCTTACAGAATTATGCTTAAGATTTTGTAATAAAAAGGGGACATTATTTGTGCCAGACCCTGTACTTATCTTCCTGCTCACGACTACACCCCTTCTGATGTGGGAGCCAGGAAGAAGCTCTTCCCCTGGTTCAGGCTTGGAGGAGGGACCATTATAGGAGTCCTCAAGGACAAGCCATCCCTCACTGAGAGAGACAAACGTCGGAATGGTGGTACCTCTTTGTGTGCAGTACAGAGCTTTACATACCTCATTGCCGAACTTTATCACAAGCTTGGAAAGGAGGTAAACATACGCCACTTTACAAAGAGGAATCGAAGGCTCAGAGAGGGTAAGTAACATACCTATAGTCAGCTTAGGTAAGGGACACAGTAAGGGATGAAGCCAAAATTCAAACTCAAATCTGTCGGACTCAGAACCCCGCATGCTTTGCACTACCTAGTGAATACCATAGAGCAAGGCTGTATTTTGTGAACAGCACATAACTTGTGATAAGATTTGGCTTTACAGGGAAAGGCTAGAATAGGAGGTGGTTCTGCCAAGAACACTTGAGACCCCAATTAAGACCCTCAGCCCTGACCGGAACCACTGAAGCAGAAGGCTTCCTGGGTACCTGTGGAGGTGGCTTCAGGACAAGATATATGAATGTATGTTGATGGTTGGTTTATGCCAATTTCAGCCTATCGATAACCAGTGCTGTGGCTGGCACCTGTGTTTCTCATGCCAGTCACAAGACATCCTTCAGCAACAACCATCAGAAAACTTTGATAAAGGTTGATTATTCATAGAAACCTGAAAATTAATTACACAGCACTCCTGGGGACACACAATGAGGTCTCAAAGAGAGAGAGAGAACACAAGCTCGCATAGGCCTGAGGTTCTGCTTTTATTGGGATTAAGCTCTCATAGGTCTGAGGGGCTAAGGGCTTCTTGGGCTTTCTCTTCTTGACCTCAGGAAGAAATATACCTATCAAAAAGGATTCCTTGTGCCCAGACCAGTGGGGCTCAGTAAGTCGAACGTTGTTCCAAAAAGCAAAAAGTCACTGGTTCAATTCCCAGTCTGGGCACATGCCTGGGTTGGGGTTAGGTCCCTGGTTGGGGGGCACACAAGAGGCAACTGATTAATGTTTCTCACATCAGCGTTTCTCCCTTTCTTTTTCTCCCTTCCTTCCTGTCTCTCTAAAAATAAATAAATAAAATCCTTTAAAAAAAATTCTTTATGGTTATGGGACCAAATTTATAATCAGAGTCTATCAGCCATTGTTTACAAAGGGCCTCTCACACATGCTGCTTTTCAGGGAAGAGCTGCAGGCTGGGCTGCCTGCACTCTTGCACTGTGTTCCTGCGGGCTGAGCCAGGCCTTCTAAAGGAATTCCTAAAATCCTATTTCTACCAGTGGATTGACACCTGCCCCGTCCAGTCAGAGCTGTGCAGCTATATCCACATTTGCATCTTTACCGATCAATCAGAGCTCCATAACGACCAACCAGAGAATGCCATTCTGACCAATCAGGATAATGCTATGTGGACGAATCACTGTGAAAATTTGAATTTCACATTTGCACAGAGTGAACGCTCAACTATTTGTGCAATTTGTATCATGATCATTACTACAATTATCATTGCTGTTACTGTAAGGGATAGTAGGCTCACCTGCGTAAGGAACACTAGTGCGATTCCTTTCATTCCTTTGCCAGACCCTCAGACTGTCCTCTTGAGATTCATCTTTCTCTTTCAGGGTAGCCCTAGGAATTTATTTTCTCCTTATTTTACCAGGGGTAAAAATGTAGGAGGAAAATATGCCAGAACATTAAAACTCTAATCATGAACCTGGAACTATGGTCTCCTTCCCAGGCCCCAGGCACAAATGCCCTCAGCTGCAGGAGGCACCTGGAGGGAGGGAGTCCCCAAGGGGGCAAGGAACCCTGTGGTTTGGCGGCCGTCCAGGGGGTGGAGCCAGAGAGTTGTGGCTGCTTTGCTGACCACTGACAAGGCCCAGCGGCTCATCCAGACGGGAGGGAGGCCCAGAGGAGAGAAAGACTCGATAACGTCTGCACAGCTTTCTGTGGGGTTTTTTAAATTCTGTGCTCACAAAGTCACCTGAGTTAGAGTCTGCCCTATGGAACGTGACACGAAATTGACATTTGAGAAGAATGAGGAAGAAAGGGATTTTTTTACTTGAATTTTAGATTCCTCTGCTGTGGAATGTTTGCCTCTGGACTTCTTTTTAAATTTATTTTTATTTAAGTATAGTCGGTATACAATCTTATATTGGTTATACTAGTTTCGGGTGTACATTATAGTGACTCAACATTTTTATGCCTTATAATATGATCACCCCACTAATTCTGGTAATCATCTATCACCGTGTGAAGTTGTTACAATATTGTTGACTATGTAGCCTCTGGACTTTTAAAAGGCAGCAGAATTTGTGCTGGGATTTCCGCCTAGGTAGAGGGACATTTCAGGGAAACATTTATATGCTTTTTTTCTCCTCACTGGGGAAAGAGCAGCTGGGTTTCCAGAAAACACATTGTCTACTCCTTGTCCTCCTCGCCCTTGCACAGCCCCCTCAGGACCTTGCAGGATTCCTACACCTGTGCAGAAGCTGCGTCAAGGCTAAGAGAAAATTCCCTCCGGGCGGGCGCAGTCACTCAGCTCCAGCGTCCATTGCATAGCAACCTGCCCCTAGGTTTTTAAAGTGACAGTCTCTTGATCCTTTTCAATTGCAAACCTTCTAAAAAATACTTCAGGGTAAGGGGAGGAGCTGCAGGAAACAGCAGGAAGGAAAAAAGAAAAAAGATGAATTTGAGTAGGATTATGGCAGGGCAAAGATCTCGAAACGCCATGGAAAGAAAGGATGGCAACGATGTTGGCACCAGATCAAGAACAGAAAGAGACATCAGGTACAAGACAGGGGACCAGCTCCTCAGCCATGCTTTGGCACTGGTGCCTGAAGTGGGAGGAGATATCTGAGTGCTCGGATATGCAGAGTGGGGTTCTGAGTATAAAACTGTTAGGTGCCTCCCTCTCCGCACTGCCTCCTCCTGAGCACCCTCCCTTTTAGCAGAGCACAGTCAGGCTTTATCAGCCAGTGCCTTCTGCCACCGGCAAGCCAGCTGGAGTGTGAGTACCCTCTTCATTTTTAGTCACTTCTAACTGTTGGGCGCTCAGTCTGCTTTAGTTTTTGCTCTTTTTCCCTTGTCTTTGTTTTATTGGAGAAATGTTTCTGATGGTTGGAACTGAGGAGAGAGAGTAAAGTCAGAGTTCTGGTAGACTAGAAAACAACTTCCCAAAGCCACGCGCTTGTTCCTGGAAGCTTGAAAGCGATGTCTGTGTTTGTGATCTCTCAGTTCCATGTGGGGAGAGGGCTTTCAGCAAAGTGGCGCCCAGAGGTGCTAAATGACTCAGAGTTCATCAACGCTGTATGGGGGTTTGGGGCTGTGTTCTTGAAAAAAGTAAGTAAAGTTGGAGGCATATCCCTGTGACTCCAAAAAAGTGGGGTAGTGTCAATGGCCCTTTCCAGCCCGGTTTCACGGATCTTCCTGCATGTGCTGTCACGCTGAAGGGAGTGTACTCACCCATAGGGAGAAGTCCAGTCACAGCGAAGCCATGAATTTGGCAGGTTCTTTGCAGCTGCACTTTTGAATGTGGAATTCAGACCTCAGGGTTTAAGGAGTGGTGTGTTCCCAAGAGATAAGTATTTTAATTAGGGGACAGGAGTACCTGAAGGCATTTTCTTTGTTTCCATTTACAGCTTTAAAGAAAACCGAGTACCTCTCACCATATAATATCAGAAACTACCCAAAATAAAGATTATTGAAAGTACCATATAAATGTCAAAGTTAAAAATCTCTTTAATATGATTGAATGTTTAAATTCTTTCTTCTATATCCATATCTAAAACTTTGACTATTTTTTAAAGTGATACCAGTGTACCTCATTTTATTGCACTTCACTTTATAGTGCTCTGCGTAAATTGTGTGGTATTCTTTTTTTTACAAATGGAAAGTAAGACTCTACTATAAAATAGATTATGACTCACCAAAGGCTCAGATCATGATTAGCTATTTTTTAGCAATAAATTATTTTTAATTAAGGTATGTGCATTGTGTTTTTGGACATAAGACCATTGTACACTTAATAGACTACAGTACCATGTAAACATAACTTTCATATCTACTGGGAAACCAAAAACATTTGTTGGACTTACTTTATTGAGATACGTACTTTATTGCAGTGGTTTGGAACCAAACCTGCAATATCTCCAACTTATGCTTTTACAGAAGACATAGAAAACTGAAGACTTTCATGTCTCTCCAACTGGACAAACTTCTAACATATGCTGGCAATGGAACGAGTTTTACTTTGTATAATTAAATAGGAAATGTTGGTTCAATTGAAATTTTGATACTGCCTTGTGTTAGAATGATGAACCCTGTTTTGTTTCGCTAGTGAACCAGGCTTTCTGCCTCGAGCCAGAAAGCAGCTTTCAGAGCATTCTCGGGATTTTAAATTCGGCACACATGGCCTTGTTGTGGACGTGTCGTGGACACAGGAGAATGGGGCTTACTTGGAGGCAGGGGGAGATGTTTATTTGTCAGAACAGTCACTGGCTCTGGTGAGGGCATAGGGTGAAACTGGGGACGGCCATGCCCTTTGTCATTGTTCAGCCCCCACCTTAGAGTTATTCCAAGGCAGCCATGGAGACAGGCTGTGTTTCTCACTTCACTGTGCCTTAGTGCCTACTGCAGGCTGCACTCAGAAGCTCTTCCCTCACCGTTTGTTGCCTGGAACAGAATCTGGGGGGGCATTAACATGCACCAGACCTGAAGACACAGAGCCGCCGAGTCTCACTGATTCCACTAGGCCGACTCTGCTGAGTGAATTTGAACGGTCTCCACTCTGAACCTCAGTTTTCTCTTCTATGAAATGAAGGCTTAAGCTAGACATACTCTAACACCCCACCTAGCTCTCAAATTTTTCCATCTCTTGGCTCTAAGAAAATATTGATTTCAAGTTCAAAGGATATGATTCTCCAAGATGTGTGTGATTTTGCTGGTGGGTAAAAGGCAGGAACCAGGCAGGGGCTGAAGGCCTAACATTCACACTGAAGAAATGTGGCAGTTCCCGCTTATCTCTCTTTCCTTTTTTCTTTCTTCTTTATTTGTTTAACCCATGTATAAGATCAGAGTCTTACCATTGGGTTTCTTAATGTTGCTCTTTCCCAAACAAAAATATGCATAATGTAACCCATAGGCACATCAGTTTTGTACTTAACTAATTAAATAGTTTAACCACACATAAACGACCCATGCACATGATTTTTTTTCTAAGACACGACAGGGATACATTCCACAATTGCAGATTGTTCTGAATCCCTCTAGAAGAGTGTAAGTTCTTAGGTTTAAAACTAAGCCAGTAGAAGAAAGTAAAAGTTAAATAAAAAGGGGACAAAAAGAGAAATACCACACTTTTAATGTTTTCTGGAACTACTGAAAGAAGCATGATATCCTCAGATGCAATAGAAGTTTTAAAAAAGAAAACATAATAAGCTGCCACACTTGTAGAATTCAACTAAGAATTGTTTGTCATTAACAAGATGATGACCAATATTTAACAATTGTTACTCAGATACAAGGGGAAAAGTGTCATTTAGCATTCTCTGAGAGGAGATTTTGCTATGCGTTAAGTGTAGCTAAGTATCTTATTATTGAAAATAGAGTCCACACCACACCTTCTTACACTTGTAAAGAACAAGACAGGAGATTGTTCTATTGGCCTTGGTCCCCAGGATGGAGCCCTAAGAGTTTGCCCTGAAGCATTTCAGAGCCAAATCCCACTCCTCCCACTAGAATAGACTTCAGATCTGCCAACTTCCTGGTAATGGAAAAACACAGCACAACAAGATCTGTGCGTCGGTCTCTATGCAGGATGGTTTGCTACCGTTGTGTTTCGTTGTAAGCAAAGCAAAATGAACATCCAAATTCTATAGTCGGCCCATTGTCTCTTTGCCGCTGGAGCTCTCAGCTAATGGAGAAGTCAGCCCCTCTGTTGAGGTCTGCGGCCACATCTCCCATCCTCGGGAATCCACCTGGTGTGCTCTCACCTTCCTCCACCTTACAGTTCACCTGGACATCAGAGCCAGGGTACACGTCCTGCTGATTCAGGTATTTTTTTGCCCTTTGGCATGTATGGAGAGTGTGGAGAGGAAGGAGGATGAATGGCTTTGACTGGTGGGGCTGATGACGCCCCTCCTGTTCCTCTTTGAAGGGACCCTTTTGGAAATAAAGCTGGCGAAGCAACATGCAGAGTCTTCTTCTTGCTAAAGTTGGCCTTGGCTCACAAGCGGCCAGAACAGGCCCACAGGCGGCCAGAACGATATACTTCCTTCATGTCTCTGGGAACTTCGGCACCTGCGCTCCTGTGTCTTTCCTGAACAGAACCTGGGAAGTGGGGTCCTCGTGCATTGCTGAGCAGTGCGGCTGGGGCAGACCAGATGCACATGGGGATGGTCCAGAAACTCACACAGCACTGATGGTTCGGATGCTGGGCAGTGGAGCTGTGGGGTTTTGATCACCACAGAAAAGCAAGAGAAAAGTAGTCTGGGTTGAGTTTTTTCGTTTGTTTTTACCTTATCCCCTTATCCTGCTTCTATTTTATTAGGGTTTCTTCTTTTTATTTTCTTGTCCTGCTTTTTTAGTTGAAATTTGATGGCCTCCTTAGTCGCATATGAGAAGTACACACCCTGCTCGACTGCTTTCCATTGTCTTTCAGATAAGGATGGGTGGATTCCTAACATGCCCTAAAGAAATGCACAAAGTCCAGCATGATAAAGTTTTAGAATGAACTACAGCCTTTAAGTTACTGTTTCTCATAACCAGTACTCATGCCTGAGTTCTGCAGCAAACAGTCAGGGTCCGCAGGCCCTCCAGGAGCTTTTTGTAGTTCAGAATAAATGGTTCCCGGGCCTCCAAATCAGCAGCCACTGAAGCCACAGAAAAAGACCCCTCTAAGACATGGAAGCCCCACCACCTATCCCAATATGTGGATCCTGGAGAGACTCCTGGCAATAAGCCTTCTTCATGATGGGCTGTACATTCAGACAAAAACTTAATCTTTAATTAACTTCCGGTAGCTCCACGGGGGAACTCAGGCCACTCAGGTTCCCAGTCACGTCGGGCCAGTTACAATATCAAGTTTCCTACCTATATCTCAAAAATCTCTGAAGCCATAGTGGATTTAAACCCTCTAAAATAAATAAATGTGTGCTGGAAATTTTGAAAGCTTGAATTTGTTCACCCTGGAATAACCCATATAAACCTAATTGTTCCTGCACTTGATGGAAAATGCCCCTTGAATGTTTCCATTCCATGCTGCCTTACAGATCCTGATCTGCTCACTTATAGAAACTCAAGGCTATTGTATCAGAGCTTTTTTTGGTTGCCTAGGCTGAGGCTGATGCTTCTGATAAGTGGGCATAGCTGTTAAAGGTGAGTCACCGTAGCTGAGGAAGGGGCTTACCGAGCAGTATTTTCACTAATGACATTTAAAGAGGGCAATATAAGAAAATAACTGATAGTCATCACTCAGATTGTAAAATGAAAAACAGTTTTTCATAGTTGCTTAATAATTCCGTTTTACAGGTTTAACTACGGGGGCAGTGACCACCATATAGCCTTTGCTTTGGCTCCTGATCTCCAGCAGTTTTCAATTTAAGAATTTCTTAATGCAAAGGTTCATTGAAGGTCTCACAAATGCATGGATCTAACAGTATTTTGCCAAGACAAAATGAGCTTCATCAACTGCATCTAGAATGTGTTCCATAAATACCTTCTACTTTGTGTAATGACTAAGTGTTCACCATTGTTGGAAAGCAGGATGGTTAGTTGGACAATGGAATAATCCAATTAAAGTACAATTGTTACTTAGTAAGAAATCAGTTACCTACATTGGTTTATATACCAGGCTTAGGAGAACACAAAACTAGAGTCAGTATTGAAGGAAAACAAGGCATAACTTTTCTGCCTGTTAGTTGCTCTTTGCTGGCTATGGTAAACAATGATGGGGCTAAAAAGTGCCCTGAGAACGAACCCCTTACTTACAGCCTGGCCCCAGGCGGAAGGTGAGCAGGTTTATCCGCATGGGCTTATCAGCACGGGCTTTGATATTTTCATGGTCCAGTCTCATGTGCCTGTGGCTTCAGCATTCCAGTCATGCCTTTTGGGAGCTTGAGAGTTTTGGTGTTCACCTACTTTACACTTACCTGCTTGTGTTCTGGGCTCCTCTTGCACACTCAAGGTGGTTTGGCCATTGTCTTCTCCCTTTGTCTACCTTTGGGATTATATCACTGGTATTCTGTGGCCACCATCGACACCATGAAACACTTCTGTCCATGTTGGGGCTTCCCTATAACACATTAATCATGAGAAGATGATTAGTGAACACAGGTCTTGGTTATGTTGTTAGTATTTGACTGAAGCATGTTTACTATAATGAAGGCACTGTATATCTTTATATTATATAATTCTTAGATTTCAACTCTTTGGTTTTCAGCAGCTTGGTATACTTCCACCTTACTGATTTTCTATACCTTTGAGTAATGTTATTCTTGCTTTTAAAACATTTCAATAACAAATTCCAAAAATAACTATTATCTGAGGGAGTTATCTGATGTGAGGACATAGTCAAGTAATCTTTGAATTTGGAGAACATGTGTGAAGGGGTTTCTTAGGCAGTGTCGACTTTTTTTTTTTTTTTTTTTTAGTTTTTCTTCCCTTCAAACTTGTAAAAAAATACTTTTTTTATAAAATTAAATTTTAATTTTAAAAGGCTGTTGATTTTAGTAGCTCATTGGTCTGAGGAGTTGGTGAGCATCACTTTGTAATCTGATAACTGGCTCCTTTGATTGACAGCATGAAGCTTAAGCATGTCATGTTAGCTCTTTCTATGTTATTATTTGACTCATGTTGAAATTAACTGTTTTTCAGCCTTTTCCACTAGGCTGAGTGAGATCTTTGAGTCAGGATATAGGTGCTCAATAAATGTTTGTTCAGTTAGAAAGTGTACATTATGAAAATAAAAACCAGAGCCTTCTCATGGTAGCATCAAAGACAGTAATGACAAAAGTAGGATTGAATTCGGGTTTCGGCAATAATGTCCATGATGATATTTCAAGAGGAAAATGGTGCTTTCTTTGTATCATGAGATGTCATCGTCCAGAAGTGTCTTTCAACTCATCCTCTGTGGCTACTCTGAGCAGGCCCAATGCTGGACAGTCTGCAGTATTCTGCATCAGGGTGTTTATGAGCTCTGTTCTTTCCTCAAGGGGACAGGGGAAGAGATCCATGGAGGAGAGCCCTGCTATGGTTAAAGTGGACCGCGGTGAAAGCCAGATTTCATCATGTCGAGGGAAAAGACGCTTTCCCAAGGCGCTTGGCTATGTCACCGGTGATATGAAAGAATTTGCCAACTGGCTTAAAGGTATTTATGCTTCTGTCTATTAAAGAGATGTGAGGAGGGGCTTTGGGAGAAATTGTTTGCTGGATCTGTAACCTCGCAAACAAGCCCATTCACGTGGTGCCTTGGTGTATGACACAACAATCAGCGTTGAGAGAAACAGGTTTTTATTTTTACCAGATTCCAACCTTGAGGGGGTGAGAGCACTTATGCTCAGAGCCCTGTTCTTCCCCAAGGCCCAGCACTTCCCTTGCTTCCCAAAAGACTAAAAGCCAAAACCAATCCCAATAGTTCTCTATATCCTTCTCTGCCGGCTGTGCGAACAGTCTCGCAGCAGCCCTCTCCTTCAGGATCTGGGGTACGATGTCATCAGCCTCCATGTTATGGTCCAGGAAAACATGCCACGTTGCACTGGATCATGGTGGAGTCCAGGAAAGGCACAAGTCCCAAGAGTTTATATAGAATCTGGTTCTGCAAAGCAGTAAGTCAGGGTCTTGCAAGGCAGGGTACTTGATGCCTTCTGAGTCAGCTAGAGTGGGCACGATCAGAGCAGCAGCATGCCAGTCTCTCCCTTATGGCACCAGGCCGCATGGCTGGATCCTGACTACAAACTGCCTAGCTGCTACATCATGGCTCCTTCTCCTCTACACTCTCTCTGCCCACATAGCTCCTATCTCACTACTGGCAGCATGGCTGAATCTCTCTTATGGCTGCCCTCTTCACTGCAAACCAGCACAGTTGCTACCTACCGTCTCAGCCCTCATGGCAAACCCATCTCTTCTCTCTGTCCACCCTTAGTTTAAACCCTGACCTGGAGCTTCCTATGTGACCTCCTCTCCAACCTCTCCTACCATAAGCTACATTTGCCAGTTTCCCATATTATTTACATTCTCTTAGCTGCCACCTTTAGTCAGGGAAAGTATAACTCAGTGATGCAGGGAGCTGCTTCCCTGGCTATGTCACAAGCCAGGAAACCTTCTGAAAGTCACAGACACACCCCTTGCCCCAGGGTGGGAACACACCTGTTAGCTAGCCATCAGCTTGCCAGTGTTTTAAAAAGTATCTTAACTGCTGGGGAACATGCTCTATATCAGGGGCCTTTTGCTTTGCACCCAGTTTCTGTTCTTCTACTCACACTTTTAGTTATAGTCACCTACTTTCTATTTCTTTCCTCTCTACATTTTAACTTTTTATCTCCAAACCTGCAAGCCTCTTCAAACATTTTTTTATGAAGATAGTGGTCAGGGCCAGGCCCTGCTCATATGACAGGAAGACAGCTCACTCCATTTTATAGTTTCGGGACTTAAAATCTAAAATTTTATTATTGGTAATTTATTCCTCTGGCTTAAAAGTCTGTAGCTCTAAGCACAGTAAGTGCATTTGATGCTTTCTGGGGCTGAGGTTCTAGTAGGGGCAGTGTGGGTTGAGCTTAAAAAACTGGATGCTTTTAGGGATCTGGGTGCCACTAAAGGGACAAGTGTTCAAAGAATATAAAAAATAAGGTTCACCTTCATCAGAGGGGATTTGGATGATTTTGCTCAAGGGGGCCTTAAACTTGGGAAGGGACACCCAGCCAGCCGCTTTCTTAGCTCTGCCCATCTCATCTTTTCCAGACAAACCCCTAGTGCTCCAGTTCTTCGACTGGGTTCTTCGCGGCCTATCCCAAGTGGCACTTGTCAACAACCCCATCAGTGGAATCCTGATTCTGGTGGGACTCCTGGTCCAGAACCCCTGGTGGGCTCTCACTGGCTTTGTGGGAACAGTGGTCTCCACCCTCACAGCACTGTTGCTCAGTCAGGACAGGTAAGTGCATCTATTCAAGCCATTTTTCTCACTTCTGAGGACAAAGGAGCCAACTAGTGACTTTGGCAGCCCTAATAAAGCCCCACCCTTTTGAGGGAAAACAACCTTTATTCCACAGACCTCTTTATATTTCCTTTCATTGAAAGGTCAGGGTATTCTTATTCACAGTACTTGAATTAGTAGCCAGTCTGAACAATGCCAAATTCTCATAGCTCTTCATGGTAACCAGAACTAGGCTCCAAGTAGATCACAGAAGAGATTCTAAAGGAATCTTCTTTAATAATTGACCAATTATTTATCATCAGCAATTTTTTTTGGTTTGGCCAAAAATGCATGAGTTCAAAAAAAGTCTTATTGGCTTAATAATCCCTTTTATATCTTGATTCCATGATTCATTCAGGAAATCCATTCTGCTCAGCCTCTAGAGAGATGAGTGACCACAGATTCCAAGTTAGCAAGTTCTGACTGAAGTAGTGTTAGGATATTTTCTGAACTACATAGTAGGTTAGAAATAATGTCTACTTTATAAATTGATCTGTCAAGTGGCCAAATGCTTTATGGTTTTTTAAAAAAGATTATTTATTTATTTATTCTTAGACAGAGGGGAAGGGAGGGAGAAAGAAAGAGAGAGAAACATCAATGTGTGATTCTTCTTGTACACACCCCCACTGGGGACCTGGCCCACAACCCAGGCATGTGCCCTCACTGGGGATTGAACCAGAGACTCTTTGGTTCACTAGCCGGCACTCAATCCACTGACCCACACCAGCCAGGGTGCTTTATGGTATTTTAAAAAGTAATAAATATAAAGAAGTTGTCCAATGTGAAAATATATTGATATGCGGTAACACTTCTCTGATGAGCAGCCTTAGTTTCATTTTACAGTAAAATTACTGAATTAAATGTGACTGAAATGTTAAAAGAAGAAGAAAAAGTGATGAGCTGACTTCGGCCTGGTGTACAAAACACTTCTGACTCACCAGTTCCTTCAGGGAGGCTGCTAGGCTTCCATGTGTTCAAGGTTAATGCGTAATCCCCAGTGGATTGTCATTACACAACTAAACTCTTGTACTCTTACTGTGAATTCTCTAAGGAGATGCCTGGGGAGAGAGTCAGCAAATATGCTACTTTTGCATCAGGTCGAAAGAACCTGATGTGTTCTCTGTAGAGGGTGAGTGATTTGGTATCTAGTATGTGTTGGAGCTGTGGTTCAGGACTGTGCCATATCAAATATTTCTTCATTGCTTTGCTCCAGTGAAAGCTGACCTATTATTTTTTAATCAGGTATATTTCAGAAAATTAGCCATACTCACACATATTAGTTTACAGAACTCTTTTCTTTTCCTCGGTCCTAAAAGGACCTCATTAAAACAGCAATCCTCTGTTTTAAGTGAACACATATCTTCTTGTAGCTTTAACCATATTCTACACCTTGTAGACATTGCCATTAAATTTGTTGACCAAACTCAAGCATTAATTCTGAAAGTCAGTTTTTGAGAGGATAACTCTTTGCATAATGCTCTCCATTGTCATCCTGTTAAGTCCCAATTTCTGAAGGGCATTATCACTTCCTGGATTAAATCAATACAAATTGCATCACCTCACACATGGCCTGCAGGATTATTAAAGGCAGACAAAGGACTTTTGAAAAGGGAGTCCTTCCTCTAATGCTTTTACTCAGAGTGACATCATTTTGCTAATGCACTGGTACCTCCTTCTCCACTTAAAAATAAGCCAAGAAGTTTCTCTCACGTCATCCTCTACCACTGGCTACATCACCTCTGCATCAGGCCCCGCATTTGACCTCACCCAGTCACTTCCTGATCACACCTGTTACCCCATTCGACCTTGAATGTTGGACCCTTCATGATGTCAGATGTTGCCATCAGCTTCTATTTCCCAGTTACGGCATGGGAACCATTTTGACCAGGAGTAGAAACTTTACCCATAAGACAGCTTTTAGGAGTGAAGTTAGCAAGTGCTCATCGGTACATAGGTGGATAAAAAAGCTGTGGTGCATTTACACAATACAGTGCTGCTCAGCAATGGAAGGGAAGGAAATCTTGCCTTTTGTGGAAGCATGAATGGACCTGGAGAGTATTATGCTGGATGGGGTGGGTCAGTCAGAGAGGGACAGGTGCTGCATGATTTTGCTCCTACATGGAGTCTAATGAACAGAATAGACTAGCAAGCAAAATAGAAACAGATTCATAGCTGTCAGAGGGGAGAGGATGGGGAGGCTAGGTGAAGAAGGTAAGGGAATTAAGGGAAAAAAACTCATAGACAACAGTATGGTCATTACCAAAAGGAAATGGGGGTTGGAAGAGACAGGAGAGGGTAAAGTGGGGATAAATGGTGATGGAAAGAGACGTGCCTTGGGGTGGTAACCATACAATATAATATACACATGGTGTATTATAGACATGTACTCCTGAAATCTATATAATTTTATTGACCAATGTCACCTAATAAATTCAATTAAATATGTATATTCTTTTAGGATCCCTTAAATTTCATGACATGCAACTATGGGGCTGGACTGTCAATGTAAGAAACATCCAAACCTGTGAGAATTTTTATGAGGTTTTTTTTTAGCCAAACTGACAATTGCTGGGAAGCAAAATCTCAAGGGGTTGAGAAAATGCTCCAGAAAATGGCAGTTTTACCACTTATTTTATACATCAGAATCAGAGGAGAAGACATAAGGAGGTTACGTGACATCCTTCGGTGATAGATGGGGAAGATGGGAGAAAGCAAAGTGAGTTAACCTCTAGGAGTACATAAAAAGTAAAATAAATAGACATGTACTTCTACTAGGCAAGTACAGGATAGTTAACAGTTAACAATTAACATGATAATAACAACAACGAGGGGATTTGTGGTCTCTGCTTTAGTGCTATGTTTGCGCCCAGACAACTCCGAAAAAGGGAAATTACCCTGACATTTCAAGTGTATGTTATCGTAGGTGCAAAAAGACACTAGACAGCCTCAGATAGTTAAGACTGACCTTTGTCAAGGAAGATACTGGCTTAGGACATGACTACACATCATGACTCACTTTTAACTAGAAAGTTTTAATTTCAGAGCTTGTCAGGTTTTGCATGTGGCCCCTTTTTCATCTACAGGAAAATAACACGAAAGGCAACTATTGGGCTGGACAATATCACGGCAGGCAGCTCCCAGTCTGAGTTATGTTGCAGCAGGCCGCTACTATTGCAACAGGCAGCTACCCAGCTGGGCAATATCACAACAGGCAACTGCTATCACCAGAGGCAACTTCCCAGCTGGGCAATACCACAACAGGCAGCTACTGTCCAGAGGCAACTTCCCAGCTGGGCAATACCACAACAAGCAGCTACTGTCATGAAAGGCAACTTCCTGGACGGGTACTATTGCGAGGGGCAGCTACTATCACAAGAGGCAGCTACCCGGCCAGGCATTATCACGAGAGGTGGCCAGTATCACGATAGGCAGGTCACTATCGTGGCAGGTGGCCACTACAGCGACAGGCGGGGGTCGCTAGCTCGACAGGTTGGTATCATGACAGGGGATTGGTGTCATGACAGGCAGGCCACTATCGCGATGGCGGGACACTATCATGACATGCGACCTCTGTCGCGACGGCAGGTCACTGTCGCGATGGCAGGTCGCTGTCACGGCATGCAACCGCTATCGCAACGGCAGGTCGCTCTCGCGACATGCGACCACTCTCGCGACGGGTGGATCACTGTTGTGACATGCGACCACCATCGTGTAAGGAAGCCAGTATTGCGACGTGCAGGGCACTATTGCGACCAGCGGGTCAATATCGCGACAGGAAGTCATTGTCACAACAAGAGGCCAATGTCACCACAATCAACCATAATCGCAACAGGCAGGTCACTATCACGACAGGCAACCGCTGTCTCGACGGGAGGCCAGTATCGCGACGTGCGGCCACTACCGCGACGGGGCAGGGTCACTGTCGCGACATGCGGCCACTGTCGCGACGAGAGGCCGGGGTCGCGACATGAGGCCACTATCGCGACTCACGGGCCACTATCGCGACAGGCGGCCGCTGTTGGGACAGGCCGCCGCTATCGCGACGTGCGGCCACTATCGCGACGGGGGAGGCTCACTGTGGCCACGTGCAGCTGCTATCGCGACAAGAGGCCGGTATCGCGACATGCGGCCACTATGGCGACGCGCGGGTCACTATCGCGACAGGGCGGCACTATGAGCCAGGCGGCCACTGTCGCGACAGGCGGCCACTGTCGCAACAGGCGGGGCGCTGTCGCGACATGCAGCCTCTGTCGCAACAGGCAGCCAGTATTGCGAGAGGCGGCCAGTATTGGGAGAGGCAGGCACTATCATAAGAGGCAGCTACTGTCACAAGAATTTGTCTCAATCACAACAGGAGGACACTATCACTACAGACAGCTACTAGCACAAGAGGTAGTCTCTATTGCCACAGGCAATTACTATCTTGAGAGGCAGTCACTACCACAAGAGGCACCCACTAACATGGGAGGCAACTATCGCGAGAGGAAGACGCAATCACAAGCAGCCATTATCAAGAGAAAAAGACACTATTGCAACAGGCGGCTACCATCGCGACAGGCAGCCACTACTGCAAAAGGCAACCACAGTTGTGAGAGCAGGACTCCATGGCGACAGGTGGTCACTATCACAAGCAGAAGACATCATCACAACGGGTGGCCACTACCGCAACAGGACTCTACTTTTGCAAGAGGCGGCCACTATTGCAACAGGCAGCTACTATTGCAAGAGGCAACCACTATTGCCAAAGGCAGCTACCGTCGTGAAAGGAAGATATTATCACAAGAGGCAGCCACTCTCTCAAGGAGCAGCTATCTGGCCAGGAACTATCACGAGAGGCAGCCACTATCACAAGAGGCATCTACCAGGGCTGGACTATGTGGCGACAGGCATCTACACAGCTATTCCCATGACAGGTAATAATAGTAAGAGGGAAAATACAATATGGTTTCAAGTGGGGGAAAAAAGGAAGTCAGGTTAAATGCTGAGAAGCAAAAAGGGACTCAAGAAACAATTAGGTGCTAAATATGCACCAAATTAAATGGAGTACTTTGCCAAGTAAAAGAAAAAGTAATTTTCTTTGCAATAACTTGGAAATGTATATTTAGAGTCAACAAAGTGGAAGCACAGGAAGATGAAATATATGCTCAGTTGGAAGGTTAATGTTTATAAGATCAAAGACACTATGAAAGTGAATTTACATTTCAAGAATCTTACATCTCACCCAAAAAATCAAACTTCGGAAACAGTTTCATCTAAAAGTTTTATTCAAGTCAGAGGCTCTTAGTGATTTAAAAGGAATAATAACTTCCCAAAGGAAAGGCTAAAAGGAAACAAACGGTTGCCCTGCTGGTTTCTCTTTCTCCCCTAGATTCTGAAATTCTGTCTTCAGCTATGAAACCTCTGTAGAGGGTTGTTCTCTGGGCACATTTGTATTTTTTCTATGTATTTTTTTCATGTTTTTATTAGTATTTGGCTTTTATAGCCTTTGAAATAAATATCTAAATTAATCTTACTTTCTAATGTGAATATGACCTGGAATTTACAAGTGTCATTAATGCGCAAGTCCAGTCAACATCCACCCAAGAAATGTCTGTGCTGTGTCTCTTGCCCTCAGGTCAGCAATTGCAGCCGGATTGCATGGCTACAATGCCACCCTCGTGGGAATACTCATGGCTCTCTTTTCAGCCAAGGGAGACTACTTCTGGTGGCTGTTACTCCCTGTATGTGTTATGTCCATGACTTGGTAAGTTGTACCTGGTCTGCAGAATGATTTCTAAAAAAATTTCTAGTCGGGAGCAGGAGGAATGGACAGTTACTGCTTAATGGGTTACATGGTGTCAGTTTTGCAAGATGAAAAATGTTCTGAAAAGGGATGGTGGTGATGGTTGTAAAACCAAAGGTTAAATGGTAAATTTCATGTTACATATAGAACACAACTTCTAGAGAAGTTTTCATTTTTATTTTTTCAAACTGTAAGACTTGTTTATTTAGAAAGCCACAGAGATAAAAGATGTGAACAGTAGAAGGTACGGGCTCAGGAAACAAGTTACAGAGGCAAAAGAAGGGGCCCCTAGAGATTCGGAGAGGAGGAGACGATGGTAGTGCGCCGGGGGCGGGGCGGGGGAGGGACAGGGAAGGGGAAGGGCATGGGCAAGCTCCCGGGAGGGAGAGTAAGAAATCACTTTTTTAAATTTAGATTCAGGTTATGTCTACTGGAAAAAGGAAACATTGAAATACACTGATGCATCTGGCCCTTCATACAACCTGTCCCCTCTCCCCAAAGTTCTGATGCCATTGTTCTTGGTTGGGGTTGTTGCCTGGGCCTTGGGAGGTGGTTGTGTTTTTTTTTTAAATCTTCACCTGAGGACATTTTTCATTGCTTTTTTAGAAAGAGGGGAAGGGGGAGAGAGAGAAATACCGACATGAAAGAGAAACATCGATTGGTTGCCTCTCATAGGCTCCCCGACCAGGGATTGAACTCGCAACCTAGGTATGTGCCCTGACCAGGAATCGAACCCACAAACTTTTGGTGTACGGGACGATGCTCCAACCAACTGAGCCATACCGGCCAGGGCCTGGGCATTGGGAGTTTTAAAGGCCCCCAGAGGATCCTAAAGTACAACCAAAGTTGAGAACCTTTCAGTATGTCAGTGGTCCTCAAACCCGCACTGTATCAGAATCATCTGCAGGACTGGTTGAAACACAGACCGCTACTCCCCGCCCCAGAGTTTCTGATTCAGTTCACCTTGGGTGCAGCCTGAGAATTTGCATTTCTAACAAGATCCTGGACACTGCTGATATAGCCAATCCAGGGAACTCCCCTTCACAGAAATTCTTACTGAGGAGTGATGTCAGCATCATAGTAGAATGAGAAAAGATTTCTTTACTGAATTCCTTTTTTTAAAAAATCCTGAATTTTTCGAACTAGTTTCTATGTTGATAATATCCTAAATCTTTTTTTGGAAGCAAATTATTTCCTTCTTACTGTGTCATATTTAGAATATAAAATACTAATATCCACACAAATGAGAAGTAAAGCCCATTGTGGACAGTGTTTGCAGGAGAGCCGCTCGCCCCGGCTGCACCTGCAGGTGTGTGGAGGACAACCTGCCAACAGGGCCGACCTGCTCAGGAGGTAACTTCAGCCTGCTCAGAACAGGTTCAAGGGCAGGAGTCATTGCCTGTGATTGCTTACCACACCACCTCCCCAAACCCATGAAATCTGGAGTTCTGATGTCAAAATGATGGCCCTTTGAGTAAGTCAACGAGTGAGTGTGCAAAAGGGTCCCAGAGACCAGCTAATCCAGTCCCCCAGTTTATAGACAAGGAAGCTGAGGAGCAGTGCCTTGTTCAATGCCACACAATTCATCAACTGCTCAAGGACTTAAAATTCTGTCCCTGAGTTTTGAACGTTTTTCATCCAGCCCACATTACCTGCACCCTCCCTTAGATAATTGTTTATCTTTTGCAAAAAGATGTATACTAAAGACTTGGGTAGATGATAGACAAGTTCAAGTTGCGGTTGCCTCTGGTGGGGAGCAGGCAGCTTTAACTCTGTAGATATTTTATTTCATATGCCTTAAATACTAGAAAGATATTTTTGAAAATTTTTGAAACCTAAATTTATAGCTCGCTGTGAGCAATCCCAGATGTAAGTTTTCAAAAGCAAAAAAAACTGAAAATTGATTTTTTGATTTTATGTAAGAATTAGTCTATGATAGGATTTATCCCCAGCATGTTTAAATTTTTCAAACACAGCACTGTAGGGGCATATTTTATGATGAAACAAAGGCCTTCCATAGTATAGAGATTCGGTTTGTCAACATGCTGTCACATGCATATTCTCCCATTCTGTTCTGTTGTTGTTTTTAGTCCGTTTTTCTCAAGTGGGTTGAACTCCGTGTTCGCCAAATGGGAACTCCCTGTCTTCACCCTGCCCTTCAACATGGCGGTAACCATGTACTTTTCAGCTACGGGACATTACAATCCGTTCTTCCCAGTCACCTTGATCACACCTGTAACCTCAGTTCCCAATGTCACCTGGTCTGAACTCAATGCCCTGCAGGTAAGATACACTATCTCCTCACATTCCTCTGGCTCCGGAAGACATCCAGGGTCCTCCTGGTTAGTCGTTCGTGGGTACCAGAGCCTTTTAGAGACTCACCTGTAGGGGGGTTTTGCTGTCTTTGTCTTGCCAGCTAAAGCATTTGTTCTCTGAAGACCTGGGCTCTAAGGGGTTGTTTTTTTTAATGACTGTTTGGTCAAAGCTAACTTTTCCCCTCTTTACCTAAGATCTGCAGTGCTAATTCCAGAGTATAACTGCACTGGAAACCAGATACTCTATTGCAAACTTGGTCCTTGTTTGGGTGGGTGTGATGGGAGCCAGCCACTGATGCTGGGGGACCTCCAGCCTGGGGCTAAGTCCTCCATAACCTGCCTGCTCCAATCAAAAGTACTGGCTGTTTGCTGTTATATCTACCGCCTCTCTGTTCTGCTTTTCTTATGGTCAATCTCACAGAATAAGTACAATAATTCAGGGTCCTCAAGCTTTGGTAGGAATCAGAATCATTGTTTCATAAATACCAATATAAGCACCAGCTCAGACTTCCTAAATCATAATCTCTGGGGGTGGGGCCTGGAAACCTGTATTAACAAGCTCCGCAAATACTTGTAATGTGGGCCAGAGTTTGAGAACCACTATCATAGGCTGTATACTATGTATTTCTTTACAGATGTACATAAAGAGAACACCACTTTTTAACACCTGGTTAACCAACATAAAATTCCAGCTCTTCCTATTGGCATTTATTTAATAAATCTGTCTAAGGTTTCCTGATCATTAAAAACTAGAGAGCACTTTAAATCAGAAGAAAACCAATGAAATCTTACCTTTCCTCACGTGCAAAAGACCAGCTTTGCTACTACCAGGTTATGAAACACCTTTTGCTGTCCTCTGTGCTGAGCAATCAAAATATGTCTGAAGTTCAAGCAGTCTTTTCTTTAGCTTCTTGCCCAGAAAATAATGGGAGCATTTGAAAATAACTCAGAAGGGAAATCAAAAATTTATTATAACTCCCCATGAAAAATGACATAAAGAAATGTTCGTTAATCAATCTTAAATTGCACTCTCCAATACAGTAGCTATTAACCCCATGTGACTATTTTAATTTAAATGTAAAATGAATTAAAATTTAAATTTACAAATTTGTTCCTTAGCCTCACCAGCCACATTTCAGGTGCTCAATAGCCACATATATTAGACAACAAAGATGTAGAATATTCCAAGGTCACAGAAAGCTCTGTTAGACAGTGCTGATCTAGGGAAGTGGGGGGTCTTGTCCTTCCCCTTCCTCTGAACTACCACCTCAGCATCAGCATACTTATTTCCCATCTTGCCCAACCCCCCATCTCCCTGGCTACCTGAAGGACAGTTCTGCTGGATGTACCTGTGTCATGTTCTCTGGTCTAGAGTAAACAGAAAAAAATCTTGTGTAGACATGAAAATCCAGCATGGGCTGAAAGAACTTAGGGTCCATCTTAGGGTAGAATCAAACTCAAAGTATATGGTTCTGCGCACTGAGCAAGGACCAAATGAGCATTTGGAAGCCAACGTTACATCCATCTTAACATATGAAGACAGAGGACACTTCCTCGCACCAAAACTGGGACTTCCTGTATCAGTCACTGCCCCTTGAAGGCCATCGACAAAAGATGCACATATGACCTGGGGGAGGCATCTTTTTTTTTAAATCCTCACCCAAGGATATATCTACTGATTTTAGAGAGAGGAGGAGGAAGAGGCAGACAATTTATAAGTTGTCTCCTATACAAGCCCCAACCGGGGATCACACCCACAACCTAGGTATGTGCCCCGACCAGGAATCAAACCCGCGACCTTTTGGTCCATGGGATGATGCTCCAACCAAGTCACCCAGCCAGGATAGAAGGCATCTTTCAGCAAATGGCCTTGGTCATAAGGGAAGTAACATGACTAATTGTGCCAATCTTGGCCCTACCAGGAGTGTTGTTATACAGAATTATCATTTGTGCACTGGCCAGTTGGCTCAGGTGGTTGGAGCGTCGTCCCATACACCAAAAGGCTGCAGGTCGGTCCTTGGTCAGGGCACATACCTAGGTTGTGGGTGCAACCCCGGGTCAGAGCATGTACAGGAGGCAACAGATCAATGTTTCTCTCTCATAGGTATTTTTTTCCCTCTCCATTCCTCTCTTCCTAAAAATCAATAAATATCCTCAGATGAGGATTTAAATTTTTTTTTTTAATTTAAAAAAGAGAATTATCATTTGTTACTTCAAATCAAACCCTATACCTTAAACTGCCATTCTGTCAACACATTAGCTGAATTCAGGCCTCAGCCAGAAAGTAAAATTGTGACTTTTACATGTTTTCTTGTGCTTAGAGGACTGATGGTCGTTGATATTAGAAGCAGCTAAGGATACCTTGGTTTAAAATAATACATACTCTTGTTAACAAGATAAGTGTAAATATGGTCCCAATTCACAAACTTGCCACTAATTGCTTCTGAATTGAGGACAAGGTAACCTGATTTGAGTCTCTGGCCTTAGCATTAACCACCAGATTTCAGGGGACTAATAATATTTCTATGGACTGGAGAGATGAGTGGATGGACAGCTGAAAGCAGTGGGGGCACAAGCTATGGTCCCTGCCTTCCTCACGGGGAGGTGTGGGAGAGCCTCACAGCGGCACCAGTGATAGCACACAGGGAGCTTAGCCGTTACCAGGGTCAAGTCTCAGTGCAAGCAGGAGAGCCAGGGAGTGAGGAAGCAGGTTCTGTGTGCACCAGGGAGGGGCTGGTATATCTCTGGGGATAAAGCAGAAAAATGACTGAGACTTTTCTGTAAAGAAAGAGAGAATTTTTAGAATCAGTAACACTGATCTCAAAAGATGAGATATGCTAAATCTAAAATTACTTTGTACGTGCTTGTGGATGTCCTACAAGTTTCTGTCCCGTTGTCTTAATGACTTTATTTCCTAAATTATTTTTGCAGCTATTGAAATCCCTGCCTGTGGGTGTTGGCCAGATATATGGTTGTGACAATCTGTGGACAGGGCTCATTTTCCTAGGCGCCATCCTACTTTCCTCGCCAGTCACGTGCCTGCACGCTGCAGTGGGATCGCTGATGGGGATAGCAGCAGGTAAGCAGGCGCTGTGCCCCAAGCATTGTTTCAGGCATCTCCTATACTCCAGACCATTCTTAAGGTCTCTGCTTCCAAGGAACCAACAGGAGTTCTCAGGTGCTTGCACCATCCCACACCCCTTCCAGAGCACCCTGCCTTTCTTCTGCAGCTCTGACTCCTCCCGTCTTTCTAACAGCACTCAGTCTTTCGGCTCCATTTAAGAACATCTACTTAGGACTCTGGGGTTACAACAGCTCTCTGGCCTGCATTGCGATTGGAGGAATGTTCATGGCGCTCACCTGGCAAACCCACCTCCTGGCTCTTGCCTGTGGTGAGTACCACGTGCATCTCGGGGGAGGGTCGCTCATGACTCTGGGATCAAAGTCCAGGACAGACAGTTAAAAAGGACAGCATGGGAAACCAGGGCTGGGGTTCTAGTTTAGGACCTGTGCTCTCTAAGTGTGTGACCAGGGCAAGTGACATCCCCTCTCTGGGCATGTTCAAATCAGCTCTACCTGGCTCTGTGGCTATTGAGACGGAAGGGCCTGCTGAGTTGTATTACAACATGTGTATGTTGGAGGATAGAAATTCAACTTATCCTATGTTCTTCCTACGAGTCATTTGACCCAAGAAACTAAAAGGAAATAAGCTAAATACAGAGCCATTTCCCCCAGTGAATCAGGAATTTTGTGCTAAGACCTTTTGAGAATCACTTTAACCCAGCTCTTCTCAGGCTTGAGGGTGCATCAGGATTACCCTGAAGGTGTGTTAAAATGCAGACTGGTCAGACTCTAATTGATTGTTAGATGTGGAGGAAGGAATTTGCATTTCTAACCAAGTGTGAGGTGGGGCTGTTGCTCTGGGGACCACATTTTGTGAACTGCTCTATTAACCCTTTCTGACCCCTATATTCTAGCCAGACTCATCCAGTCAGAGCTAGAAGGGGTTCTGGAGAGCTTCACCCCATTCTTCTCATTTTACTGTTGGGGTACTAAGGCCAAAAGACATCCAGTCAGTTGCAGGTAATGCAAACCCACAATCCGCATTTGCTAACGGCCTGGAGAATTACGCCCACTGCACTACTCTGCTCCCCTTTAGTAGCGTTCAGGCCTCAGGTGAAAACATCCATTCAGATTTGAAAAGCTAAGGACTTCTCAGGCCATTGTAGTTTCCCATAGCCAGGACAGTCCTAATTCCATATAGGTAAAAGCACCTAAGATAACGTGCTAGACTGAAGGGAATGATACTCCCTGGGGTCCAAAGGGGTGGAGAGATAGTGGAATGTGCAGAAATTACTTCAAATCTAATAGAAATATTTGTCTAGTCAGTTTATAATCAGATTGATCGATCCAAGGTATCTAAGTCATTATTAAAATGGCAGACCCCATGCCAGGCAGGATTTAGATTAGATTCCTGTATTGGGCAAAGGGTGGGATGAAACCAAGGATTTCTAAGGCCTCCTTCAATTTTCATTTCCTGGCGCTGTGGCAAGGATAACAATACTCAGGCTGCCCCTTGTATGTCATTTTCCCAAATTCTTTGTAACTACACAGTTATTTCCCCTAATAACCTTGTCAAAACTTTTTGCTCATTCTACCATATTTATTCATAAGCTTAGGACAAAAGAGAAGGCTACAAGAGATTATATGGCCATCTGAGCTCAGCTGGGTTAGAATCTTTATTCTGAGATTAGTTTGAGGTTTCAGACCTTCGTTTGGAGTGATACCTTTATTTTGTTGTGTTAGCAGCAGCAGCAAATACGTATTAAACACTCATGATACAACCCAGACAGTACTAGTGAGAGCTAGGGATTCAGATCCCTGGTGGTTCCTGTGCTCAGAGAGGTTCAGTTAAAGGCAGAGGCCAGGTGAGTGAGAGAGAGAGCCCACGGGAGACCATCTGATATTTATAGAAGAATAAGGAGACATCTATAGCCCAAGATATTTGGGGGAAGACTACAGTTCAGAATCATCAAGAAGTACCTCCTAGAGAAGCCGGCTCTTGCTTAAGTCCTAAAAACTGAGGGGAGACATTCTCGTTGGTAGAGAAGTTGGTCTGGACCATGGGCACAGCCTGAGCACATCCTTAAAGATCAAGCGGAAACTGTTTTGTTTTGGTCATAAGAGCTGTTGATGAGGACTTGACGGACCACGGACAGGGATGAAGCCAAAGCTGTTAGCGGACGTATTTCCCCAAAGCAGGAATATCTTCATTACTCTATTATAGAAGTAGCACTGGCTTATTGAACAAAGCAAAACAAACAAAAATCCAGTCAATACAGAAGACTATAAAGCAGACCGATAATTCTTCATCCTACTCCCCGGATAGAACGTTTTTGCCTCCCTCTTTTAAGAACCTTATGATTACATTGCGTCCACTTGAATGACCCAGGATGATATCCCTATCTCAAAATTTCTAACTTAGTCACTCCTGCTAAGTCCCTTTTGCCATGTAAGATAACATAGTCACAAGTTCTGGGGATTAGGACTTAGACCTTTTTGGGGACCTACCACACCTACCTTCCTTTGTGTAGGTCAGATGGTTTCTCCTAGTTTAAGGTAATGGTTAGGGCAGTATACTGAATCAGTTAGGAGCTCCGAGCCTGGTGCCAAAATTCCAGCTCTGCCACTTTTGAGTTTAATAAATGCCAAATTCACCCCACAAAGGCCATATTAATTCTCCCGCCACGAGCAGTGTGCAAGAGAGTCCGTCTTGTCCACACTGAGTATTATCAGTCTTGTTCATTTTAGACATCAAGTTTTGAGGCAGACCTCCAGCAGCTCTTGGAAAGCAAATATCACATATCAAATGCCACAGCAAGGTTCAGCTTGCCCACATTACCCGGATACTGTCAAACAAAAACCAACCTTGTCAGCCAAGGTAAATAAACAGCAGGCATTTATCACAAAGGTGCTCTTTTGTATGGCTTGATCAGAAAAGAAGACTTGGCAAACTCCGATAGGCCTGGCAATGCTGCCTTCCCTACCTCTAACCCAGAAACTGTAGGGTCAGGGAATCCTTCGATTTTGTTATTTTTATCAATACAAACTGTAAACACATTTTGTATCTCTTGCGTGGCCGAGGTATCATAGTAGGACTCTGTTGGGAAGGACATTGTCTGTGAAGAGCAGAAACCCAGTCTTGCCTCCAGCACTCAAGGAGTTTTTCTGTCCCTCAACTATTCAGAACACTGTTGGGGGCGTCACCTACAAACTGTCACGTGCAGACTTTCACTTCTGACAAAGGCTTTCCCAGTTCCATTCAGAAAGTCTTAATTGATAGGCAGCTGCTATTAGGTAGTCTGACGCTCTTACTATGAACAGAAAGGCAACTTGGAACTGGAGATCACTCTGCAACAGAGTAACAGTATGAGACTTGAACGCCAAGACTGTGTCTTAGAAATGCAATAGGTATTAAAAGGACAGAAATGGCAGTAAGGTCTCATGTGCTCAAGAAAGGTGTCATAGAAGAGCTGGCACTCAAGAGAGCAAGGACAAAGTGTCCCTGGTGCTTAACGGAGGGCCAGGGAATATTTGCTACATAAATGAATGAAGGAATGAAATGGGAAAAAAAAAAAGAATAAAATTATGGAAACCAAGCACAGAAAACCTTTCAACATGAGCTGTTGCACCCTTGTGCTCAGAGCAGTATCTCAGTCCCATGGTGACAGGGATGAGTAGGCAGCTGTTGTTGTAGAAATACATGATTTCATTTGAGATTCACCCCTCCTTGTAAAGTATGTCTCCAAGTTGCCTTTTTACAGACCATGCAACTAGATTCTGAGAAGTTCAGCGATTTCTTGTACAACAAACAAAATGGCAGAGCTGAGACTTGAAATCCAGACTGTTTCCAAAGACGAGTCTTTCCCGCAAGCATGAGACAATTCAGATGTGAACGAATTAGGTATAAATATCAGTGTAAAAACACAAAATCTTGATAAAAGGATAGAAATGAGGCTCTCAGGTTCCTCCCACCATTTCCTGCCCCACCCCTCCACCAAGAGAGCTGCTGAGGTTTCTCACCAGACAGGGAGACTAGGTGGTGAGCGCGTCTAACAGTGTCCTGGTGGCCCAGGTGGCTGCGTGGGCGTCCTTCTTCAGTCTGCTTCCCTGAGTCTCCTTGAGCCCCCTCTTCAACCAAGACTGCGGAATTAGTGATTTGCTAGTTTGAGATCTTTGTTTTTGCTGTTTTACATTAAATGTCACACATACGCTCAAATCTCAAATTACCTACTCTAAGATTCGTGCTCACTCAAAGTAAATTTAAAAAGAACGTGTTTATTCATTGACCTCTATGCCAACCTTAATGGTATTTAGAAAAATGTTATTCTGGGGAGGAATCCCAAGTTTGTGTTCAGTTTTCTGCTGATCTCTGAGTTACTATTTTTTTATTTTTTAACACCATGATTTTTTTTTTTGTAACTGTGAATTCTAACCATTAAGAATCCTAGATATAGTCAGATGCAATAAAGAAACCACACTATCTCAAGAAACATTCATAAGTTTTCTTTTAATTCAACTGTGCTTGGATGAAATAACAGAGAAGTTTATTTGTTATGGAAGGAGTTTTCCTTAAGTACCAGCAAAGCAGCAACAAAACAGTAAGCACAAAAAGCCACCTTTTATTGAGTACTTACTGGGTGCGAGGCCCAAGCGTTACCTCCTTTCATGCTCACACCAGCCCTGTGAGAGAAATATTCCTATAACCTCCCTTGTACAGGTGAGGAAGTGGAGGCTTAGAGAGGCCACCAAGCTCCTAAGTGGCAGAGTCTGTATTCAAACCCAAAGCTGCTGACTCTGAACTCACACTTGTAACCAAGGTGCTGGGCTAGCGGGCAAAATGGGAAAATTTACATTCCAGTAGGTTTATACCAGAAGGCAGTCTCTCTGTGATGAAATGAAACCCACCATTGTTCTGTCTTCTTTTTTTGTAGCCCTGTTCACTGCCTACCTCGGAGGCAGCATGGCAAACATGATGGCTGTGGTGAGTTTGCTTTAATCTTACTTTGTCTTCAGCATGACTGACCAGTTTTCAGTGGTATGGAAACCCTCCCGAAGTCCACACAGGTGGTGTCCCTGGTAGGATCCACGACCATGACAGCCACCACTTTCCTTTTTCTTGTGCATGTCTTATCCTCATTCACCTTCCAGCATCAGAGTAAATTTTAGTCCAAATTACAATCACCAAGCTTGTTAAGAATATCAGATTACTTGATTGAAAGAAGTGAAACTTAGGTTGTATAACATTACCAAATTTACACTCTAACTCTTGAGTATCAAGAAGTTAACTTTAGAGTATTTTTTAATTTAAAAACTAGGGCTATGTAGTAGTTGAGAAAGCAGGAAAGGGAGGAAAAAGATAATTGGCTAAAGACCCTTTTCCTTTTTTGAAAAAAATCAAGCCAACAGTTACATACCCTTTGTCCTTTTAAAGCCCCCAGTCAGTCACCAATAGGACTTGTTTAGACCCATATCCTAGCTGAATTAATAAGCAAAATTATCACCCATTACGTGTACCCTGCCGCCTTTCTTAGCACTATCTGGCCTTTGACGTTTTCCTCCTCATACTAGAAGGAACCTAGTATGACTTGTTCCAGGATCCCCCCTCCCCGGGCCCTGGATTTTCTCTCTCTTCCACCCACCACTGCAGGTGATACAGCACCAGCTCCTGGTAGCTCAGTCCCCGTGGATATGGTCATGGCTGCCAATGGATCAAGACAATATCTGGTCCTCTCAACAGCGGCACAGAGTGTTTATGGGAGAGTCTTCTGGAAACACAGTATCTTTCTGGCAGAAAGTCGAAGTGCCACCATAGGCATGACAGGCAGTATATTAGAGCATTGCAGGTCCCCTCGCATCCCAACAAAGGGCCACAGACATCAGTCCATGGACCAGAATAGACAGGCTGCACAGCAGAGTGAGCTAGGGAGACTTTCAAAAATACAGATCCTTAGGCCCTGTTCCTTGGCATTTCTGATAGAATGGGCCTGATAAGTGCTTGGGCACCTGTGTTTTTTAACCCTGTCCTCAGATGATTCTGTTGTATAGTCAGGTTCAAGGACCATCATACCCCCTGGGTCTTTGCATAGGGCCAGACCTCACCGAGTGCATGGTGCACGCTCAGAATCACGTGATCACATGCATAGTGAAGAAGAAAGACTTACCCTCAAGTTATGTAGAGCCTATTTGGGAGACGGGATAAAAAGAAGTGAAGCAAATGGAGTCCAAGACCTAGTTTGGTTGAAAATCAAAGGGAAAGAGGTCACTGTGGGCTGGACTAATCAAAGAAGGCCTTGTGAATGTGATGAGCAGTCAGGAGCCATTGGTGGTTTGCTGAGTGTCATCTTTGTGTGCCAAGGATGATCTTTGCACCTCTGAATGTATGAGAGGGAAGGGAAGCTATATAAGACAGAAATATAACCGACCACCTTAAAGCATGGATAATGACATTTCCACTGCTAAATGCCCTGAAATCTCAGACTTAGTCTCCGGAGCAGAAGCAGAGTCCAGAGCAATGGCACATCCCCCTGGGCAGGATGAGAACAGAGTGACAGATGATGCTTTGGGAGGATTAGCTTTCTAACAAGGTCTCAGGAGCATGTGGCTTGTCTCTTTTCCCTCAGGTCGGAGTGCCATGTTGTACCTGGCCCTTCTGCTTGGCCACACTGCTGTTCCTCTTGCTGAACACGAAAAACCCCAACATCTACAAGATGCCCCTCAGTAAAGTCACTTATCCTGAAGAAAACCGCATCTTCTACCTACAAGCCAAGAAAAGGATTGTCGAAAGCCCTCTGTGAGAGCAACCTTCACCCCCCCGCCGTGGTCACACGTCATTTCTGACTAACTGCCCCAGGTGGCTTCCGGGGCCTCCGCGAACCATTGTTTTTCACTAGTAACCACTTTCCTACTCACCCACCAGCGATCTGTTCTTATGCTAACTTTGTAGTTTTCTTTTAGACTCCAGGAACATCCCTAAACATGTGAGAGACACATCCATGTGCTTTTTCTATTGAATTTTAAACCCTTATGGGGCATTGGCACTAACACTGGATTATATTTATAAAGCCACAATGCTCCAGCACAAAGAGGAAGTGAGACTGGCGCTAAATATTGATATTTATTGATATTTTTGATGTTTAGCTGGTTAGATGATGTTAACAGTATTAAAAATTAAGCTCTGTAAATCAACTAAGCCTTAAGGGAATGGAATTCATGGTCACAAAATCGAAGTCAGCCCCGAATCCTCAGATAAGCAGTATGGCTTGTGACAATCAATGCAAGCGACACACTCTGGTGGCGGCCAACGTGGCAGAGGCGCAGCCGATGGCTGAGCCTGCTCCCAGCTCCTCCCAGCATGGCCTCGGTGTTGCCACTGTGTGTGCGTCACTCACAGGAGATAAGGTTGGGTTTTTCCAAGGTGACAGAGCTGCAGTGGGGAGAAAGGGCTTTTGTCAGTCAAAATGATTCTGTATTGTTACTTTTATTAGAGATTGCAAAGGATTTTTTAGGTAGAGTTTATTATCTTTTTCTCATAAGAATGTCCCCTTCAGTATGTTTCACTTCAGTATTTCGGAGCAGGCAAGAAGTCAAACTGTGGAATCTTAAAGGTTTTTTCCTCTCTGGGTTTGCAAGTGCTCCGTGCGACATACACAGTTTGCTGAATCAATAAACATGAAAAGGGAAGAAAACTTACAAATAGTTTAGGGAGAAGGTCACTTCTTCCTTTTCTCAGGAAAACAAACAAACATTGTTCCCATTTGAAAACCTTGTGACCAAAGCCTTTTGAAACCATGGCTTTGCAACTGTCATAGAGTCGCATATATTCTTGTGGAAAAATTAAAATTGCAGTGTTTGAACTGAAATCTCTCTGGTTAGGGAATTTGTGAAATAAGACTGGGGGGAAGAGAGGGGGAAGCCAGCATAAGCAAGGACAACCAGGAGTAAAGAACCTGGCGGTAAACCAGCGGCCTCTAAAATGTCTCCAAGTCCACCTTCAGAACGGAGCCCTATCCAGGGTGCTAATCCCACCCCTTCTCCCCGTGTGCTCACACAGACTTGTAAATAAGAACATTTTAAAGCCTTGTATATTGTCCAATTTAAATGGGATTGATTTTCTCAAGCTATTTTTGTTACTAAGCATTAGCCTAAAATTAAGTATTTTATGAGTTTTCTTAGAGAGCACTTGTATTTTTTTCCTGTTGTTTATATAACAAATTTCTATGTAAGAATACAAATAAATTATACTCGCAGCTCAGTTTTGTGTAAATTTTGTTTAAAAGTCATACGTGCCTTTTATAGCTATTGTTCATATTAACAATCACATGTGTAAGAATGTATTGCTTATATCTCAAGCTATTAGAATCCTATTTCTTTCTTATACTTGGCAGTAGCATCAGAGTTGTATCTGAGCAAAACCTGTTCGATTTCATATTCATGGGCCCATCCCCTGGGGTATCCTCTCAACTGTCATTGCTCTACTCACTCAGGGATGAGAACGGATTACCGAGGACAGTCACAGGATAGATGTTCACGGCATGCTGCCACTGCTAGAGATGAATGTGATTCTCATGCATTCCCAGACAGACCCGGCCTGTGAAGGCCGATGCTGGGCCGTGGCACGCCTCAGGGGCCAGCTCTCTAGCCCAAGCTGTGCAGCCTTTGTCTCTGCCATCCGAGCACTTCTCTTCCACCTCCTTTCACCCACGGTTAGCATACCTCAAAGAAAATATGGGAAGAATGGAAATGTATTCAAGGTTCAGGAGCAGCCCAAACAGGAAACAAAAGGAGGCCACACTGGATTAGCCCATTGCAGTGCCCTCGGTCAAAACAAACCCCCCCCACCCCGCCCCCGCGGCCTATTGTTTCAAGATAATGAAGTCATAAGAGTCATCTGGTCATTAAATTTCCTCTTCACTCTGAGGTAGAAGATAGAGAAATGGTTTTGAGACTCTAATGCTAAAGACTCCAGATATTGTATGTCTTACCTGCAGGACTTCCAGGTGCAGATTTGCTTGTTTCCCCAGACACTTGAGTAGCATGGCATATGTTGAGATAGAAGGTTGAGTTCCACAAAAGACAAGGACTTTCCAAGGGGCTTCCTGCTGACAACTTTGCAAGAATATTTTTGTAGTTGTTGAGTACACCACAAGGTATTTTGCATATGAATGCCTTCAACGTGTCTAACAATTACCTTCCAAAAGGCTTTAATCTTTAGAGTTAAATCTCCTTGAACCTGCATTGACAACCCACAACCATTAAAAGGGACGTAGCTTCCATGCAACAGAGTTCTATTTGTTAAAACAACCAACAATGTCCATCCTGAAGGAATCTAAAAAAATTGAGACTTTTAAAGAAGTGACTATAAGTCCTATGAGAGTCTCCTTTCACAGTTCTTAAAATTTAACTGTAAAATACATAAAATAGATTAGAGCCAGATATATGCCAAGTCATCTAAAAGAAAAGACTGCTCCCAGGTCTGGCCTTAGCCCTATTGAGTATAAACCAAGTGGATGTTAACAAATCTAAAGCAAACTTAAGTCTGACAGGGTAGCATATTAATCACTGAAGCTTAGGAAGTGGAAGCAAGAATTGGCAGGGGGTCTTCAACACTGGTCGCCCAGGAACAGGTATCAGGCAAGATCTCTGGTGGGAATGGGTGTACTGAGGTATTGCGGTTTAGCGAACTTAAGCATTTAAATCATGCACCCATTGCCCTTCATCTGCTCCCGTCCTCACAAGCTATTTGACTTTTTGTGTAGATTTGCCTTCTAGAGGAAAAAATGTACTTGTCCATATTCAAGAGTTTCCAGCCCTCAATAGTTACATTTCTCATTTTAATTAACAATTTAATTTGGATACATAAGTCTTTTAAAGTTTTGTTTGCCTCCGTATGCCACCAAAAGCCCAATCACTCCATAGTTTTCCAACAAAGTTAAACTTCTGAGGCTACAAAAGCATGAGTGAGATAAGGAGTAATCAAAGGTAGTCAACATCCCTCAGGATGTGATGTTTAGGCTGAGAGCTAAAGAAGAGACCAGAGAGAGGCAGGCAGAGGGTGGATGGAGCAGTGTTCATGGTGGAGGAAACTGCGTGGATAAAGGCCTTGAGACAAGAAGGAAATTGGCTTTTAAAGAGCAAGAGAAGGCTGATGTGGCTGGAATACGGTGAGCAAGAGGGCATTGGAGTGGGTTCAGGAAACCAGTTAGAAGGGAACTGCAATTGCACGGAAGAGAGGTGGTTGGCTTGGACTCCCATGGTGGCAAAGGGGATAGAGGGAAGTTTATGGGTGTGAGAAACAGAAGTGGAACCTTAGTGCTTAGTGATGGACTGATATAGGAGGTGAGGGGGAAGGAGGTATCAAGGATGACTTCCTGATTTCTGGCTTGGGCAACAAGATAAATGGTGGTACCACAGAATGAGATGGGAGCACTGAAGAGTCACTTCTTACGCTATATACATTCTTCCTGACCAGTTCCTTCTTTCTTGATTTTCAGTCCATATCTTGGATTAAAACTGTCTGCAGGGACTATTCCAAAAGCCCTTCTTCAATTTCAACACCCCCAGGACAAAACTCACCTTCTTCAAGTACCATATTTTGCCTTGTATATTGCGCTCCCATGTATAATGCACCCATGTTTTTTGTATGCATTGTACATTATTATACCCATTATTATTCCCATGGTATATAAACATTATACCCACATATAACGCACATCTTTATTTTCCCTTCAAAAATTTGGGCCAAAAAAACGCATATTATACTCAGCAAAATACAGCATTCTTCCAACCATGCAAGTCAGAAACAGTGTGACATCCTTGACGTCATTCTCTCACCTCTAGGCGACAGCCACATGCTAAGCATTCTACCTCCTTCATGGCTCCCATTCACTCTTTCATTGGCAAATATTTCCTGAATGACTATTTATTACATAATGGGAACTGGGGCTGCAGTAGGGAATCAAACAGTCATGAACTCTCCCCTCACCAAAATTTTATAAGGTGAACTAACCAGTAAATGAGTAAATGGAGCAGTGTGGTGATCAGGCTGAATAAGAGGTAGCCAGGCGACAAGGTTGAAGGAAGAGTATCCCAGTGGCTTCTTCCATTTAAGAAACAGAAGACAAGAACATATTGTTAAATACCAGGTAGCCACACTAAATAGGATGCTTTGGGCAATAAGTAACAGAATACCTGTCAGAAGTGCTCTGTGCAGTAGTAGCTTCAGTCCTAAAAGTAGGAAGGCTTTTCCAGGTTTGATGCAGCTGCTCAACAATGTCACCAAGAATGCTGTCTCTTTCCATCTTCCTCCTCATTCTCAGCATCCTCAGAAGACTCTACTTTCATCCTCAGGCTCACTGTCTCATGGTCTCTAAATAGCTGCCTTGGTTACAGATATCACATCAGGAGGAAGAAGGCAACAAGAATTGTAAGAGAGCCATTCTCTCTTGTCTCTCTCGTTTTATCAGGGAGGGAAATCCTTCCCAGAAGCTCTCCTAAAATATGTTCATTTATGTCTTTTTGGCAGAAACAGGTCATATGGCCATTCCTGGCTGCAGGGGAGTCTGGGAAAACATGCATCCAATATTGTCAGCCTCTACTGCCTCTACTGTAGCAGGTGAGCTCTGCCATATAACAGCCAAAGCAGGATGAATGGCTATTAGACAGGCAGCCAACATGCCTGCCACAGCAGTATATGGTACCTCCATACACTGTCCGATACCTATGTACCCAGGTCACACTGGCTAGAGCCACATGGTAACAGATAATTCTATATCTAGTATGGGATTCTCACAGTAGGTTAGGACAGAGGCCTAGACCAAGATATTTTACATAAAGATACTTTGTGGAGTACTTGCTGGAATATTCCCAGAGTGCTTTAGAATGCCTCAGCTTCATACAAGGTTTTGTAGTCTCTCACAAATTCTAAGCAAAGAGTGAGACAGCCAGTCATAACGATCAGAACAAGGAAAGTTTAGGGACAGTTCACGTTCTAATTAATCCTCTTGATCTAACATTTGAAGCCCCTAAGTCATCCCACACTGGAAGGCTCCCCTGGAAAGAGTTGAATTTCAATTCAGTTCCAGCTCAATGAAACACTGAAAATGAGTGTCCGACACATTCTCCTTTGCGGTTCCAAATAAACAATGAGAAAACCAGTTTCCTCCTTGGGTTGGGTTCATTGGATCCTAGCCCAAAAAGTTTTGAATTATATCACAGCAACATGCAAGGGCTTGAAAGAGATGAAATGAAGTGCAGAGGAAAGTTGGCACAGTGCCAGGAAACCTGGCTAAAAACCTCTGAAATGGCAGAAAACAATAGCAGCTAGGACATGAGTCAGTGGCACAAGAGCACACGCATCTTGGGGAAACAAGAGCACACATAGTCCAGCCACAGGAGTAGCCAATCCAACAGGGAGGCCTTTCTCCGTGCTTCTGGGGACCTCCTTTAATGTCTGCACTGTCTCATTTGTCCCATCTCTACCCTTCATGTTCCTCATGGACAGTGTCCTGTCGCCTGCAACCCTGCCCCTCACTGCCCACCACAGGCTCTGAGACACATACCCACAGTAGCCTGAGGAGTCCCTTCTTTGGCATCGTGCATCTCACTGCTCAGTACCTTGCCAGACCGATTGTTAAAGTTTTTGAATATCACCCTGGTATACATTTGGTCAAAGAGTTCAATGCAGATAGACTCCGCGTGCCTAAAGCTGGTAGCAATTTAATGCAACACGTTACTTCTTTCCAGGTTGCAAGGTACGTTGTCAGGACCCAGGACTCGGCATTAGCTGCATGAGGGGCATCTGGTATCAGGATCAACACCGTCACACCTGGACCAGATCACGTCAACACCTGCGTGATCAGAGAGGTACCGAGGCTATAAGGTGCCTTCACCAGCAGCTCCCACAGAGCCTAAAATTCCTCCCTTGAATTCTCAGTAAAAGAGCATTACGCAGTGACAACAGCAACTCATTAAGAGCTCAGATATTAAAATCCTAGGGGATCTAGTTTATCTGGCCTCTTTCCAACTCACAGTTGACAAAAGCAAATCCTATAGGAAAAGGATTCTAGAAAGATTAGTTTTGATGGGCAAATCCAAGGAAGGTGGTCATCTGGAATCAAGGCAGTGGTTAGGCAAAGAACAGGAAAGAGGAGGAGGAAGGCCATACAAGAGAAAACCAAGAACAATGCATGATCAAAACATTCCCTGCTGAGCACATCAGAGTGAAGAAAGAAGCCAGGAGAC